TAGCAGAGATAGTGCCTGATCCAAAGTGAATCTTTCTCGCCTGTGATCAATCACAAATTATTTATGTTAGATTCAATTGTGATAGATATAATCTCTCACTAGTTTTAATATATGTGTAAGATTAGTGGTCTCTATTGTTGCATTAGTACAAGTAGGTTGGTAATATGTATGAATACAGGAATATATAGGTATTATCAGTTCATTAATATAGCTAAAGGCTATATTGTATATCTAATAAAGATCATAATAATTAAAGATTGAATTATTTTAATTTTCGATAATAAAGTAATAAATAGCAACTTATAGTATTATATTTTATGCATATTAATATTTTTAACAATTATGTATTTTGATTAGTTTAATTATTATAGGAAAGCATGTATAAATGCATGGGTAACCTGCGGGTTAACCAACAGGTGACCTGTGGGTTGACCTACTCATATCTACCCAGGTTGTTAAAACTTTACCCAGGTAATCCACCCACTTGCAGGTAATTCGAGTAGTACTTATCTGGACCCAATCACTACTTAGAGATCGAGAAAAGACTGCATTTATTACTCACTATAGAATATATAAGTTCAATATCATGTACTTTGGACTTTGCAATATCCCTGCAACCTTCTAATGCTTAATAAACAGAGTTTATGACAAAATAGCATAGAGATTTGTAGTAGTATACTTAGACAATACTATCATATTCTCCAAAACCTTTGATGACCAATCAGACAAGTTGAACTTTGATTAAATATTGAGAAATATAATTTTTGGATGCAAAGATTACCATTTCTAGAATACATAATTTTGCCTAAAGAAATTGTTCCAAACTCTTAAAAAATCAAAGCTGTTTAACAAATTCTATCTTCTAAGAATATAACTCAGTTATGATTTTTTTTATAAATAGTAGAATACTATTTCTAATTTACTTGCAATTTTTTTGCAATTGCAAAGCCCTTAAATTAACTTTTCTAAAAAGATAAATCTTATAAGTGGACCAAAGCTCAACAAGATTCTTTTAACAAGATAAAGCAAAGACTCATTAGTGCTTATTTTTATATAGGTCGAATAAAGCCCTACTGGGAACTGTACTATCAAAAAAAAATCGAGAACATATTGGGTTTCAATATATCTCTGGTTTTTTGTTTTTAAATTAAATACATATCGGGAACCCGATATAATTATAGAAATAGAATGAATATAAGCCGATAAATCTTAAGCTTATCAGGTTTTTACCAGAAATAAATCAGATGATTCTAAAGAGCTATCGGCAATACTATATAATTATGAACCTTATCCAATAAGCATTAGATTTATCAGGATTTAAGCAGAAATAAATCAGTTAGTCCTATTTGACTATGAAATTAAACTGATAAATAAAAAGATTAACAGCACATATTGGTAAAAAATCATAAATGCAAATAACGGTATAGTATCAATATATTTTATAAAATTGAATATTAAAAGTAGAATTTTCTATTAATTAGAATAACTGATATTTATCGTCTGGGTTCTATGTAACAACTGACACTTTTTTTGTTTACTTATTCGGGCATATTATTATTAAAGTCATATGACTTTATTAATAATATGCCTGAATAAGTAAATTGTGTAATTTTATATGTATATTTACTTTAATGTTAGATTTTATAATTCACAGCATTATAAAATATTGCAAATTTGCAAGAATTTATATAAACTTAGCAGAGAAATTAAATTATTATCTAATTATTAAGTGAAATATTTAAAGTAATATTAAGTGGTTTGTCACTTTCGGGAAGTTGAATTATAACATTATTTGTAGCTTTCTTTAACGGCGTTCTTTGGCAATACTTGTATAGTTTAATTTTTTCAGAATCATTCGTAGAAATCTTAAATGGCTTGAGGACTTTAGGATTTAAACCATCGATATATGGGATAGCACGTTTCTTTTTTTGTAATGTAATTTCTTTTATTTTAAGGTCATTATTTTCTTATGTGCATTAAAAACAAAAAAAAATTAAAATTATATTACAAACTATATAAAATAAAATACATTTTTAAATACCTTTTTGAAAATCCTGTGAGTACAGTATTTTGATTGAATCTTGTGAATCTTGTAATTCTTCAAGAGCAGAATCGGGAGACTCTTCAATAGCGGAATTGGGAAAATTTTCAACAGCTGAATCATAAGACTCTTCAATCGCTGAATTGTGAGAGACTCTTCAATAGCTGAATTATCCAAATCCGATACATCAATATTTAAATTCGAAGCTAAAAAAAAAATTATTATATATATGTTTAAATTAATCATTAAATATGTGTAACTATAGCTTACATGCTGGTTGATTATCAATTATATCATTTGAATCAAACTCATTTAAATCTTGCTCTTGCGATGCAAATAGAATCAATAATGCTGTGGATGCAAGTCTTTGATCATATGATGGGTTACTATATACATGAATTCCTTCTCGAGATCTGTAGCCAGAAAACATCATTGTCTCATCTTCAGGAACATTTGATCACTTAAGTATTGTGATTGCTATACGTCTTGCACTATGATTAGTAATTTTTCGATCATCAGCAAGATCAATTCCAGTATTATTTGCGATTTGATTAAGCATCATTTTAAGTTTTTTTCTTCTATTTTAGATGGCTTGTACATCAATCCTTTTTTTAATTCTATGTATTAATAAAAATAAATTAATAAAAATATATTTGTATATATGTATATGTTGTGCCTCAGATCGATTCTTGCGTCAGATCTAATCTGACGCACGTCAGATGCCGATTTCCAGGTGACGTACGTCACCTGCCAATTGGTCATCTGACGTGTGTGAGTTGTAATCTGACGCAAGATCATCAAAATCAAAAAAAAAGTTTCTTTCAATGAAAATGTAATAACGTAATTATGTAATAACATCATTATGTAATAACGTCATTATGTAATAACGTAATTATGAGCAAGGGTATAAAAAAAACCCTTTGCTACTTTTGTCTTCTCTTTCTTGGTGTTTGGTTTGAATATTCTTTATAAATGTTGGCTTTATATCTTCCGTTGGCTTTTGCATTCGACGTTGCTTCATTGGCTTTCGCATTTGACATTGGTGGTGCCCATAATTTCTCTACATTCAGCGTTGACTAAATATTTGGTATCACTTGTTCTTGAATATAAACGTGTCTTCATTTGCAGCACTTTGC